GGGTAGCAGAACACTAATAAGCGATATTTGCTAATTCACAAATAAAAAAGAAAAGAAAAAAATCAAAGTTAGCAAAGTGCTTAAGATTAATGGATGGACTGTGCCAGTTCAAGGGCAACAGAGAGAGCAATTGAATACTAAACATCAGAGTAAGATGACTAAACCACATAGTTCTCACCCAAAGAAGCTTTCAGGACAGCTCTTTTGCAAGGTATTCCTGAGAATTTCTAATGGAACCAGGGTTAAATCTGGTCATTTCCTTTTCGTTTATGACTCTCCAGTGATGGAATCTCCCAGGGATGGTAATCTATGAAATCAACTATGAAACTTCACTAGGTAAAGACAGAAGTACTTTAACCATACGCAACTTTTTGCTCAGTGAGGAGAATCTGACCTAAGGATCTTTACAACTGTTCCAAGTTGACTGGAATTCCAAAAATGCAGACTGGCCTCCAGAAAATCTAGATCTAAACTAACCTGTAATTGGCATGCCATCACTTTATCTGAATCCAGAGTGTATCTGAAAACAGTTTTTAAAGAGTGTGGATCTACTATGAAAGTCACTTGGCTCTTACAACAGTTGCTAAGAAGGTCATCAGGTCTGTTAGAATCCTTAAGTCTGCTTCCCACCACCTTCATTTTCTTTTCAAATGATAACAACAGCACTGTATCTTGAACAGATTAAAAAAAAAAAAAAAAAGTCACAGATCACATGCATACATCAAATAGTTTTTTTTTTTTAATGCACACAGAGATTTGCTTGCTGAAGAGTCAGCATGTTTTTCGCTGGAGTGGCATTAGCCAGGACAAGTTAATATGATTACACCAGGTCACATTCTCCAGACTGATGCAGCTCTGCAGCTTCCTCTATTATTATACAGAGCACACACCGCTCTGAGATTGGACATATTAGAAAACAGAACTCCTGTCTCTTATAAGTTTATTCAACAACACACCTGAAACAATAAAAAAGAATTAAGGTATTTTCTGGGCCATCACACATCTCTGCCTACCGGCTGCTAAGACCATATCAAATCTCTCACAAACATGTAGATCACCTACAAATCTTGAGGAATTTGAGGATGCTCACTCGATTAGATCAAAAACATATGACTCAGTATTGTCAGCCAACGGGTTACATCTTTTTAAGCTCCTTTTCCCCCTTGTTTAAGGATAATAGCTTAGCAGATAAGATGCATAATTAAATATCATAGCTTCCAAATGTACAAACCCAGAGACTGAGCAGGCCATTGCCAGTCTCAAACACATTCTTCCCAGTAATTTGGCAGAGGTGCTCCCAGTAATCTGGCAGAGGGGAATTTCTATATGGTGATGTAAACCACCACAAAACAGACTGGGCTTCTTTTAGTTTGTTTTCCATTGAGGATCTTGGTAATGATTTTGCTGTGTACATTGCTGTTATAGCCTACATACATCAAATGAAACCACTTTGTAAATCTCACCTTAAATTTATCAACGACAAATCTTACTTGACTGCTTAGGTTTTACGCACAAATAACTGGCTTAGTGGGAAAGAGGAAAGCACCCTACCTCTTTAGTCTTGACTTTCAACAAGTCAAGGCTTTCAACAGAATCGGAGAATCAGTTGGATTCGACCTCTAGAGGTCACCCAGTCCAACCCCCCTGCTTAAGCAGGGCCTGCTATACCCAGGACTGCCCAGGACTGTGTCCAGACAGCTTCTGAATATCTCCAAGGATGGAGACCTCACGAGTTCCCTGAGCAGCCTGTTCCAGTGCCTAGTAACCCTCAGTACCTGTGTAAACAAGATGGGAACATAGCGAAAAAAGGAGTAGATTACAGTAAGGTCACAATCTGGCTGAACTGAGCACCTGGTGGTTCAAGAGACAGCAAATCATTAGCAACATTTCTCAACAGTCAATACCGAAGTTGATACTGTTTAATATCTTCATGAGGGCCAGGGCTACCATTCAGAGGGGCCTTGGCAAGTTGAAGGAATTCCTCAAAAGAAGACTCATTAAGTCTGACCAAGGTAAATGCAAAATCCTGCACCTGGAATGAAAGAACCTCATATCTGGATCATGAACCCAAGAAAATAACCCCATGCTTGTACAGGTTGCAGACTGGCTAGGTTGCAGCTGTGCAGCCTAGAGGCTGCAGGATGTGGGAGCAACGTCCAGGTGGACAAGACAAATGTGAGTCTTTAATGTGTTCTCACAGCAAAAAAAACCCACCTGTGTGTTGGGATGGCTGCATCAGCAGGAACTTAAACAAGGATCTTGATAGAAATTACTATTCCCCTCCACTCAGCATTAGTAAAGCTACATCCAGAGTACCATGCCCTGCTATGAGTACCTGGCCACAAGAGAGACAGCACCACATTGGAGGAAGTCCAGCAGAGTGCCACTGAGATGATCACACTGCGTCTGAGGAGAGGCTGGGCCAGGTCAGTTTGTTTAGCTTGGATGCAACTACAGTCTTCCAATAAATAAAGGGACATTATAGAGAGACAGAGCCAAACCTTTAGAGGCACACAGCAAAAGGACAGCTAACATTGCTCACAGGAAGGGAAATTCTAATCAGAAGAAGGAAAACATCTGCACAACAAAGGCAGTTGAGGACTGGATCAGGTACTCAGAGACCCTTTAGAATCTCCACCTTTGCAGATATTCAGATATTGAGTGGAGAGGGCCCTTAGCATCATAATCTAGTTTTCAAATTAGCCTTGCTTTGAACAGGAACTCAGACTAGATGGGCACCAGACCTAAACTATGGGCTTCTGCAAGAAGACTACACCCTCACAGAGCTCTGTGTCTACACACACCAATCATAGTCAAACACTCTTCATAAGCCAAGTCTAGATGGCAGAATAAAATACTAGATTATTAGATAAAATTGTAGTAAACCCTAGATTAACAAATAATATGGGAACAGTAGCCACACATGATAGCAGTAAAATTATGTCTGTTGGCTTTACAGACACTACTTTGATCTATGGGATTTTGTATTCATATCAAGAACTTCCGCATCAGGAATGTCAACTTACTACATTGCATTGATCTCAGTTTTATGCTATTGATAATGAGAAACAGAAATTAATTTAAATAAGTACATTTCGCTATCATGGTTTAATGCTATTTGGCAGAGAGACAACTTTAGTAAAGTAAGTGCATGCACATACAGTCTTGTTTGTGTCAGCTTAACTGAGAAAAGAGGAATAGAACTTCAGCCCATTGACCAAAACAGAAACTTCATTTTCACTAAAATTAAATAACAACTGTTGTCATAAAACTTTATTTCTCTTAGTATACCAAAAAAAAAAAAAAAAAGAAGAAGAAAATTAGACCCTAATTCAGTACCACGTTCCAGGGGACTCTGAAGGCACATTTCTTAACACAGGCAGAAATATCTTAACATTTAGAAGGAGATAAACGAATAGAGAAGCAGTGAACATTTTGCACTACCATTCTGCTTTACATGGCCCTTAAAAAGTTTCCACTGCCCACCTATTCCATTCAGGAAAACACTGCAGGTAGAAAGGACATGCAAAAAGCGTAAGTGATCACTTTTTTAATGTATCATGACATGTAATTGGCAGAACAAGGAAAGCCCACACAATTCTCCTCTCACAGAGTTTGGCAAAGCAGAAGGCAATATATCAAAACCTGAATGATGTTTCAGTGCATTGCTCAATCAAAAGCAAGAGATGATGAATTTCCAGTTTCCATCCTGATGGAACAAAGACAAGCTGAACACTTCATGTTATCAACTTTCATGTATCTAGATATGTATGTATATGCCAGAGTTTCAGTCTCTCAGGTTGGATGAAAGGTTTTTTCCTACCTCCATGAAGATAAGCCAGCAGAGTTCCTGGCAGAAAAGTCAGGATCTAGTCCTATCATCAGAATATTAGCTAAGTTCCCTTAAGGTAGGAAAATGAGGATGTGGATAATTGGCAGTTCGTACTGGAGGGAACTGTACTTACAGGAACTATCCTTCCCTTGTGTGCATGAATAACATAATCCAATCCAATTCTGCCTTTGATGAAACCAAGAATAACACAGTTTAAATATCTTTACATTCCTTGTCTATGTTGATATACACGCTAAAATAAAGAAGGAAGCATGAAAAGGAAGTACTAGCATTCATCATGATTATCTACAGCAAGAAGAATACAGATTTTTTTTTCTTTTAAACTCAAACACAGATTTGATACTAGAAGCTACAACTGTCTCCTTTCAGTGGAACATATGATTTTTTAAAGAATGAGTTCCCTATCTAGTCTTATACCTCTTATCAAAGCAATTTGGTTTCCTGAACTGGATCTACTAAAGTATTTTTTATTTGCTAATAAAATACTAATCTTTCTAGTATCTTCAAAAAAAATTGTATTCTTCACCTCCCCCCGTAAATGTATGGTAAGAAAGTACCAATCATAGAGGGATAAAATCAAATATCTATATAAGGCCAGAAAGGTGATTATTGATTTCAGTACATTTTCCTGTAGGGTTTGAGACTGAAATCCCATTCTTCATCTAAAGCACAGAACCTGGTATCAGTATGAAATTTAAAATACTTTTTCTAGCCAGTCCAGATTTACCGGAATAATGGATAAAGTTAAAAAACAAACAAACAAAAGAAGGTATTTTTAACAAAACCACAAGTTAGAAAACACAGTGTTATTGCAGTCCCACGAAGAACAGGCACTTGGCAAATGGGTCCTACACATTTTAGGCTCCTAAAGACAGCTTTCTTTCTGAAATTGCCACTAAGGTTTCCAATTCTCAAAGACATAGAGATGTTGGGAGAACGTCTACCCCGATGATACGTGTGACTCTTCAGCCAGAGGGTGTTATTCACGCTTAAGCAAGAGGAAGAGGAAACTTCACAGAGATTTGTTAGAGCAGCCCCGCCGCCAGCAAGCGCCCACGAAACGCCACCGCAGCCACCTTTACCCTCACTTGTCCCAGATTAATCAAAACAAAAACCCTTCTCTCCCGTCTCCACTCCCTGCCCTTACCTTCCACCGATCGCCCGATGCTGTGCAAGTGGGTCAGGGAGGGGTACTCGGCGTGAACCCCCTTCAGGTACTTCTCCAGCTCCTCGGTGTGGTGGTACTTGAAATCCAGCGTGGCCGCCACAGAAATCAAGCACAGGATGCCCACCACATCCTAGAAAGAAAGGGATGAACCGAACAGAGCTGGATGAGCCTCCCTCCGCGGGATTGTCGGAGCGGCAGCGGAGCCGAGACAGAGACATGCCCGCGAAGGAAGCCCTCTGTCTCTCCCTCCCTCCCTCCCTCCCTCGCTCGCTCCCTCCCGCCTGCCCTCACACGAGCAGGTGCCTCCCGCTCCTACCCCCGCGGCCGCCCGCATGGTGCCGCCGCTCCTCCACAACTGCGGCCCCGCACCGGGCGGGCACCGCCATCCCCCGCCGCCGGCCTCGCCCTGCCCCTGACTGACGCGGGCCCCATCCACTCAGGTCCCCCCGGCCCGCCCCAGGGCCGGGGAGAGGGGAGACATCCCTCTCCTTGTCCCCACCCTCCTCCCCACACCGCCAAAAGCTCTCACCTGTGAGGGACGCGACTCCCGTCCAGCGCCGCGGCGGGGGCACAGCCCTTCACCGCTGTCTTCTCTTGATCAGTCCCTGATGGGTTTTTCTCGTTGGTTTTGTTTTGTTCTGTTGTTTGTTTGTTTGTTTTTTACCAGAGAGATAAAAAAAAAGAACATCAAATCCAAAACCGTCCGGGGGCGCAAAAGTTCACGTTTTGGTTTTAGGTCGTGTTTGGATTCAGAAGAAGAGAGTTGTTAAATCTCCTCAGCCCCTGTGTGGTCCTGCGGTGTGATCAGACGGCAGCAGACAAAACCTTCTGCATGCAGAGGGACTCGTGAGAGAATTTATCTGCAAATCCAAGCAAATCTCTGCCTAGCGGTTTTTGTTGTTGTTTTGGTTTAAGATGAGTTTTTAATAGGGCTGTATTCAGCTACTGAAAGGACTGGATTCTATCTACAGAATTAAATGCCTTTCTTCGTTCTGCACTAACCACAATGCCTTGGGGAAATCTCAGTCTTGGGATTCACCACAAAGACTTTTTCATCACCTTTTATTGTCTTTAAGTTTGAAAAGGACTAGGAGAAAGAAAGTGAAACTGGCCTCCAGCAACAAAAACTAGGAGAGCATCTAAATTTATTTCAAAATATGAATGTGGATGTAGCTGAGGGTTAGAATGTAACTGTTGTAAATGCTGTATCATTTTATGAGAAAAAAAAATTATAACCAGCAGTGGGATTTCATCTGCCTTCTTCTGAAGTTTACTATACTGGTCAGTGTCAGAAAAGGATGTTGAAGGAAGTGAAGGTATGAGCCAATCCCAAATAATAAGTCCTGCATTCCAAATAGAAGACTGTATTAATGAAAGTTCTTGTTAAACAAAAAGTTACCATTAAATTAAAAAGAACCATTTTGTTTACCTCAAAGCTTTAAGAAAAAAAATCTTGAAACTACATTTTAATACAAGTATCTGTAGTATCCCAAAGCACCAGAAACATATATATCTGAAAATGGAAGATATCCACATCTAGGCCCTTCTTAGTTCATGGGAGGAACTTCCATATCATATATTACATGGGATGTATGCAAAGTGCAAGGCTGCTTGGTTAAAAGAGATATATAATGTTACATTTCTATTGGATAGTGTTCATTCTTAGCTTGGTATTCTAGGGGAGGGGAACAAATCCAAAGCCTTTCTCCTATGCACTGACTTCACCATGTTTTAAATCTTATAACTTGACAAGACCTTCTCTCTCTTATCACTAAAGAAAATTCTTGAAATACCTAAATATGGGTGTCTTTTACCTCCTTTATTAAAAAAAAAATGTTGATAGTTGATTTTGATTAGAGTTACCTGCTATGTGGAACGAGAGAGAAATTGTGGGGTTACGCTGCAAAGAAGCAGGAGGAAGGAGTCTATATGTGAACTTCATGCCTGAATTTGTTCAGCTTGAATATACATATTTATATGCTCCTTGAAAGATGACCTAGAGACACTCACCAGCATAAACATACTTGGAAACCTTCCCAAGATAATCATATGAAATCAGAGAACTCTGACTCCAAGGCAGAGTAGGGTGTTGGCAACACAGTAAAAATCACGGGGTGGGGGGGGGGGGTGTAAAAACTTAATCTCAGTGAAATTACTAAATCACCTTTGATACTAAGTAATCACACAGCGTTATCTCATTTGGAAATTGCATCATCCTTTAATGTAGACAGCACAGTCATAGTTAAATGAGAGTATTATTGCATTTAGGAGTGTTCGAAATTATAGATTGTTTCCATTCCAGGTGCTTGCAAGTTAAGGCAAGTCCATCTGTTTGGCAATATTTGAGTTACATGTGACTGAATCAAATTTTTTTTTTTTTCCTCCAGCCTGTATGAAGCTCAGATACCTGTTGCATCTGCATCGCTATTCAGAAGGCTGGTTTAAGCAAACCTGGGCCAGTAATATTCTGGTATATGCATTTGTGCATAAAAGTCAGTACCAAAGACCAAATCCTGCATGAAACTAAGTCAGTGAAAAATCTTTCATTAGCATCAGAAGTTCAAAATCAGAGGCTATGTGTCTGAAACTGATTGCAGTTGTTCTCAGCACTGCAGTGAGCAATGACCCCTATGAGGAAGTGACATAAACAGAGAAGTCAAAGTCTCTTGCTGTAAGCAGCATTAGTCTCCTCTCATTGTCCTTCTGGATAGTCCATTGAAAAGTATTCAACAAGTAACTATCAAAGTTACCCCCGCAAGCATGGGGTTTGTAGGGAAAAAGTTGCAAATTTTTACGTGAACTTCGCACCGGCGGATCTCAGCAGAGAGCTGCGTGGGAACTCATCCGGGTGGTGTGCCGATGTGAGTAGCTGCGTTGCCCTCTAGTGACAGGTACAGAAATTCCTACCACAAGCAACAGGTACGAACAATTCTTCACGCACTATTAAGGCTGACACTTCACAGCCACACGTTTGAGATAGGTATCGGCAGTATAAGGATCTTGTGGAAGCTTTTGTGACTTTGGAGAGCCATTTACAGGACCGGTCTTGGAATCTGAAATCTTGCTTAAGTGTTTTGTCATCGTTCAAACAAGATTCCTGCACTTTCTGAAGATTAGTAAGAAAAAGTGGATGCATCACATTATAACTGAAGCATCAGAATATTTTTGGCAAGAAATACATAGAGATCACTAACAAGGATTAGTTTTTAAGGATCACTACTGCTCTTAAAACTTTCTCTTCTGAAATCATGTCCCAGGCATACAGACAACAGCTTCCTGTTCTTTACACTGATGTAACACCACGGATCTGACAGTCACATTTCTCTGTGGGAAAAACATGAGATAAAGGTTTTCTCAAGTGAGATGGAACAGATAAGTGAATGCAGTACAAACGACGACAGGCACACAAACCTAATAGGACAGCACAGTCCTGAAAAACATGAACAACTATATGAAGCATCAGAATAAATGGCAATGAAGCCTTTCTGGTGTACAATACCTGCACTGATGAATTAACAAGCCCATATTAATAGGGCTAAAGGTAGATTCCCTGCAAGAAAGAGCACAAAAGCACCAGAAAGCTCTCAAGCATTCGCCAACAGATTAGTTGTCTCTACCGTGCTGGCAATTCTCATCTGAGGCTTGCATACTTGGTTCATAAATCTTCTCCCCTCCATCCCAGCACAAGAGTTATCCCAGAAGAAGGAAGGGATGCCCTGCTGTGTCTGGTAATCTGCAATTAGAAAATGATCCCAAGGGGGACTATTAGCAGCTGCTATTGTTTAGAGCTGTCCAGACAAATACTGATTTATCTGGGGACTCTGGAACCGCAACTGGGTGTCTGACAAGCCTCTCACTCATTTGTCTTGCTAACAGCAAAATCTGCATAGATTATAGCAGAGATTCTGAGCTACCATATGACAATATATTGTCATATGCTATGGTAGAACAGGTCAGTTCTGCTTCACAGGGGATTGAAGCATGAGAACATGATTTCTTTCAAGACAAAGGTTTTGAGTGTTATGTAGTGGGTATGGTAATAAAATCGTAAGATTTTTCAGTTTTATCTTCCTCCTCTTAAATTGGCTTATACCTGCCCTTTCAGCAGTTTACACAGAATTAGAGGTAATTTAAAAAGAAGTTATCCTTGGAGTGGCAGAACTGAATTTTGCATCTGTGGTATTATGTGTCCCTGAGTAGGTAGGAGCACAGGACTAAGAATGGATAAAGGCATGAAGGTTTGATGGGAAGTTCAACAACCTGTGGACTGATGCATTTCAGGGAAGCAGAGGGGAAGAAGGATGGTGAGGAGTGTCCACAGAGGTCTTGAGGAGGAGAGAGGAGGCTGGAAGGTGGAAGGGCTATAGGTACTGTGGTTGAGAAAAAGCAACTGAGAGGATTCGGCAGGGAGGTTCACACGAAACAGGACAGAGAGCAGTCTTTCTGCTCACTAAAATCTTGCTAATATGACCTCAGGGTAAAAAAATTTGAGAGATTTAAGATGTTGGCATAGCATCTGTCAGGTCTGCTAATTTGTATATGAAATTTATTGCAGTTAATACCATGGAAATTACAGAGATTGTTCATAGTTGATTTCTTGTTGATATTGAGCAATATTTTTCAGTAATCTGAAAATTACCCCAAGGTCTGGACTCATTTTAGCTGTCCTCATTTGGAAAATTTGTCAAGCTTTGGAGTAGCATTTTGCCATTTTTGCTAATTACCCTCAAATCAAAATACATTCCTAATTGTCAGTGTCAAGAACAATGCAACATTCTTACTCACAATGACAGCAAGTCTGTCTCCTTAAACAAAATTCCTCCAGGCCATGTAACATATCTGTTTCAAGTAAACAATGGTGCTATTTCCTGAACAAGGAATTAAGACCTTTTTGGAAATCTTCATTGTGTAGTAAAACAATCCTCTATTTCTCTGGACTGATTTATACACACTGGGCCTCTACACAAACAACCAAGTAAACAGTATGCACTGAAATCTCTTGTAAGTGAAAAGTACACATTGTGATGTTTTGAACCAATCTTTTCCTTTTGGGAAAGAAAAGAGGGCTTTTCTAGATATATAATAGCTATGAATTTCTTGATTGGCAGTTTAAAAATGAATGTTTAGTGGGGCAATAAACAAATATGCCACTTGCTTGACCTCATTGAAAGCAGCTGGCAAGTCTTTTATTGAATTAATCTGTACTGCCTGTGTACTGGTTAGGCTGTCACTTATTAAACCATATGCTCTGTGTAGGCTTCCTTTTTCCAAAGATATGGGTATGGTTTTGTGGCCAGCTTAAAACAACCTAAAACTAAACTGTCCCTGAGAGAGGCATCCCTTCACCCAGCCCTCCTGCCTCCCTTTTGCCAGAGGTCAGTTGTTTTCAGTTGGATAGAAG